AAAAATTCATAACCTGAATTTAGTCATGAGGGAACATTGGACAGACTCAAATGGAGGACGTTTTACAAAATAACTGGCCATTATTCTTCAAAAAGTGTCAAGGTCATGAAAGACAAAGAATGAGGGGCTGTCTAGATTGGAACAGTTAATAGTTATCATGTCAATGTTAATTTCCCGGTACTGATAATTGTAATTTGGTTACATAAGATGTTAATGCTAACATCTGGGGAAGCCAGGTGAAGGCTATACATGAATTAATTGTAATATTTTTGCAACTTTAAAACTATCTGGTTATTTCAAAATAAGTCCAAAAAATTAAAAAAAACCCAAACCCTGAATTCCTGATCTCCCTTGTTTCTACTCCCAAACCCACTCCATCTGCAATCTTTTCCGTCACCCTCGAAGGCAATTTCATTGTTCTTGTTCAGGCCAAAAACTTTAAAGTTATCCTTTCTTTCTTTCTTTTTTTTTTTTTTTACTGTATGCCAATTCCAATCTTCATGACATTCTAGTCTGTATCTTCAAGTATGTTGAGAATCAAAGCACGCTTCCTCACCTCTACCGCTGCCCCCCTAGTGCAGAACATCACCAGTGCTTGCCTGGATTATGGCAACCACTTTCTAACTGACCTCTGTGATCCACTCCTCTTCTCCTAACCCTTTAGTGGCCCCCATTTCTTTCAGAGTCAAAGTCAAAGTTCTGACTATGGCCTGTGAGACCCTACATGTTTTGTTTGCTGTCTACACGACCCCGTTTTGATCTCTCTTACTACTCACTCGCTCACTCTCTCACTCCCTTCAAACCACTCTCATCTTGCTGTTTCTCAAGCAGATCAGGCACGTTGCTATCGTAGGGTTTTTTCCTTGAATGGCCTTCCCCCTGACATTCCTTGGCTGACTCCTCACATTTTTCAAACCTTTGCTTAAAGGTCTTTTTCTCAGCCTCCTCTGACCACCATCTTTAAAAATTGCAAGCCCTGATTCTTGCTTCTCAATCTGCTATAATTTTTCAGCCATGTTTATCACCTTTGAACATAGTATATCATATTTATTGTGATTTGTCTATCTCTACCTGTGAGCATATAAACACTTAAGAGGGCAGCTATCTTGGTCCGTTATGTTTCCCGAGCATTTACAATGATATTTGGTATACTGTATATACTCAATGAATATTGACATATTATTATGTAACTTAGTAAGTTTACAATTTATGAGGCATATATTACTGAAGGACAGAAAAAACATTGTATATCTCCTTCCTACAGATATTTATAAGTAGTCAGGGAGTTAGACAACAGATGTAAATTATTGTTTTTCTAATCATTAAGAGAATATGTAACAATAAGAAGTTTAGCCAGGAGTCTTTTGATTGCTAGTCATAGAAACCCACTCAAATTAGCTTTAATAAAAAAAGGGGAGGATTTACTTGTTAACAAAACTGAACAGCTTAGAAGTAAAGTTAGCTCCAGGCATGCTGGATGTAGGGGCCTTACAGTTGTCTTCAGAACTTATTGATTTCTCCCTTCATCTCTCCACTCTGCTTTCCTCTAAAATAGCGTTGGTCTCAGCAGGTGTTCTCCACATGGTAGCCCTGGAAGCTTTAGCCTCAGATTCTCAGAGTTGACCAACAGCCCAGAATTCACCCTGGCCTGGTGTGGGTTACATGCCCTGTGGCAAGGGAATGTAGTGTTCTCACTGCTCTGGCCTGGGCCACACGCCACTTATTCAGCCCCTAAACTGCTTGTACTGAGAGTGGGAGAATGAAAAGATAAAATTAATTATAGACTTGAACCAAATCTATTTGTGTTAAGTTGACAGACTGGAATAGCTGATATTAGAAATATAACACTCTGACCCCTAGTGGTTAGATTATACAGAGACAATTTCAGCATTTAGTCCAAAGCCAACAGGAGGTTAATTTATTTCACATCATGTTTTTATACAATTTTTGAAAATTTAAGATTCTTCATGCTGACATTTGATCTTTTATCAGTTTATTTAAGAACATCAGCATTTTTTCCTTTTGTTCTCTACATTGAAACATTCACTCATTTTTGGCAAATTTTCCCTGGAACTAGATCTTGCATTTCTTCTTTTTTTCCTATATCCCTACTGCCACCATCTTTCTTCTTGGGTTCATTCAACACCTGAAAAAATCTTCCTAAGAACTGCTTTACTTGTATGGTGTCCAGCTGGGGAACTTCATTCTGACACCTAATTTATTAGATATAATCAAAATCTTTGGATCTAGCATTGATTTTCATGTGTTTCTGACTCTTGCTGCTTAAGAAATTAGAATTGAATTTTTGTGGCAAGTCATGGAAAGCTAATATAAATAACAATATATTTGCCTGATGCATGGTGACCTGCTGAACTTCAAAAATTAAGAGCACTTATTATTTACATTTTTCATATTTCATATAAGAAATAGGTTAGTCCCTTTAAATTTCATTCTACTAAATTTAAAATTTATCTAATCTTCTACACAGAAAATTTTATGTATATTTCATTTTTTTTTTCTTTTTTAGAGACAAAGTCTCACTCTGTTACCCAGGCTGGTGTGCAGTGGCACAGTCATAGCTCACTGTAGCCTCGAACTCCTGGGCTCAAGTGATCCTCCTGCCTCAGCCTCCCAAATAGCTGAGACTGTAGATACTCGCCACCATGCCTGGCTAATTTTTTGGATAATTAAAAAAATTTTTTTAGGGACATGGTCTGGCTTTGTTGCCCAGACTGGACTGCAGTGGCTTTCACAGGTGTAATCATAGCTTATTGTGGCCTTGAACTCCTGGCCTCAAGGGATCCTCCCACCTCAACTTCCTGAGTAGCTGGGACTATAGGCATAAGCCACCACACTTGCCCTAGTTTTTGAATAAATAATACATTAACATGGTAGGATAATAAAAGCTTAAAAAACAATATATAGGGAAAAATAAATGTCCCTTGAGCTACTCAGTTCCCAGAGACAACCTCATTATCCTATTACCCAGTTTCAGTTCCCAGAGACAACCTCATTATCTGTTATATATACCAGAGATAATATATATATTTACTACAGTTGCTATGTACAACGCTGTATGCCCTATCTTGCAACTTGCTTTTTCCACTTAAGAATATATCTTGGATAGCACATTAAAAGCAACCTCCTTTTTCAACAGCTGTACAAATACTATAAATATAGTTAACCAGTTCCTCGTTGAGGAGCTAGAGAAGGTTTCCGGTATTTTGCTATTACAAGCAATGCTTCAAAAAATACTGTGGAATATAGGTCATTACGTGTATTTCTGCAAGATAAATTCCTAGAAGTAGGGTAACTGACTTTTCAAATGATTTAGACTAAAAGGGCCTAAAGAGATAGATTTCACTGAGGAGGTATTTGTGTTAGTTGCTTTAGCCAAAAATTTGGAAACATCCTTGTATCCTCTTTTTAAACAGCTATCATTCACTAAATCTTGCTGACGCTACCTGCTCAATCTCTCTTCAAATCTGTCCTCCCTTCCCATTCCTCACAGCCATAAACTCAATTTAGGCTTTCATTATTCCTTCATATCTGAAATATTGTCCTCAAACCCACTATTCTGAGAGAATAATCTACTCAGACACTTCTATGTTGCCTAATAACGAACATCTATGATTAGGTCTAATGTCCTTGTTTTAGCATACAAGGTTTGTTTTGATCTGGTCCCTGCCCTTTCTTTTTCCTGCAGCCCTCTCCCATCACCAGCTTCACTCTTTACCTTTCTACTGTAGAAGAGTTCATCATTTCAGGTGTGCATTCCTTCATTTGCTCTCATTGTCTCCCTGGCCTGGAATGCCTTCATTTATTTCCCTTACTTCACCTCTTGTCCCTGTGAGTTCATCTTCCATAGTAATTGGTATTTGCTATTGAAATTTCCTTGAAGTAGTCTTTTTCTTTTTTAGCTTCAGCATCTAGCATAGTGCTTGGGCTTATAAGATGCACACTCAGTGAAATTTCTTTAATGGAACTTAACTAGATCTTGAAGGAAAGGGGTGGAGTCATTCATTCATTAAGTGTATGTTTATCGAGAGGCTGTTTGGTACAAAGCTATGTGCTTGACAGTGTGATTATAACCAAGAAGATAACTAGGGCCTAATTTCGGACTAGTGAAAGAGATGGGGCAACATAAACACACACTTATAATTCAGCTGGATCCCAGGTAACAGTTTATTTTATGGATATGGATAAGCAAAGAAAGGGGTGGCATTTTGATTAGAGGAAATTGTACTAGGAAAGGTATTTGCAGAATAAGGTAATTGCTCCAAATCACCATGAAACCCAAAGTTAGACATAAAACTCATGATTTCTGACTCCTGTTCATGGCCTGTTACCTTCACTTTTTAAAGGGATGATGTTATTCTGGTAAACAGATGGTCAAATATAGTTCTTGGGTAATGAATAATGAAGTGAGATAACATGTGAAGCATAAGCATTACAAAACAAAAACCAAAAAATCTTCCCGATGCTAAATGATCTTTAGTAAGTTTAATCTACCAACTGTTCTTATTGTATCATTTTCTACTCTCTCTTATATTAATGAAAACTCTTTTCACAAAAGTTTGAGGAAGCTAGTAAAATGTAGTGAAAAGAGCAGGTTCTTTGGGAGTCAGACAAAATCAGATTCAGCTCAGGGGGCAGTCACTACTACTAATTTATAGCAAGTACTTAAACTTTCAGTTTCCTCTTTTGTAAACTGGGAACAATATAGTAAATAAATTGTGAGATATTTATGAAAAGTGCTTAGCACAGTGCCAGCACATAATAAGAGCTCAGTAGAAGTTAGCTATCATGCAATTCTAAGAACCTGAGGACTTGGGGGTGTTATTTTCGCTCTGGCAACCAAAGGAACTGAAGTGTAATCATTGCTAAATTAGGTTAAACCAGAACTCGTGCTTTCAGCAATGATGCAATTTGATCTCTTCGGGCCACCGTCGCCGCGCATGCGTAAATAAACGTGGCGGGACGTATGTGTCATGGCGCGCTCCATCTAAAGTCTGTGCAGTTTCCGGAAAGTGGCGTGTTGATTCTCTCACTTTGGACTGGTTTTTATTTTCCGACTGCTGGGTAAGAGTGGCGATGGATCAGTGTGGGGCAGAGTGGGGCCAGAGCTCCTTTTATGGCGAAGTCTTGTTTCTCTGGTTCCAGTCTTTCTCGGGCTTTTTGCTAAGTTGTTTTGTAGTGAAAAGGGGACTTGCCAGCTGGGACAGGGGAATTGGCAGGCAGATAGGGCTGCCAGAGTGAAGACGGGGTCATCGGCCTCAGGTGCTGCCGGGTTGTTAGGAGTATTCAGAGTACCGTGTTCTTTACTGTCAGATTTAACTCTATTTGTTCTCCCACTTTCTACGTTAGTGAATTTGTGGACATGACAAGGCTTTCGCAGTTTTTTAGCTTTCACAGAGCAGTATCATAATAAGAATTTAAACTGAAGTTGGCCAGAGGAGCAGGTGTCTTGCTTTTTCACTTTTCTTCTTTACTCATAAAACCTTTCTCTGAATCTCAGGATGACACGTGTGTTTCAGGTGGAAGGTGATGTGGATACCTACCTTATTGCCTTATTCTTGTTTCGTAGTTGTTGGTTCCTGGCACTATGCAGACGTTGTAGTGCTGGACGTATTTATTACTAAGGCTAGACACTGGATCACAGTCTTGGCAGATGTCAACACACCTGTCGTAATCAGTAAGAAGTTAGAAGTATTATGGAACATCATTAACTCTGCTGTATAAAGCGGCTTTTGTGGAGTCTAATTCCTTTTAGGTAGTTTTAAAGAGTCCTTATGGTGGTTTTGTGAACTTGTGGGATGCTTGCCTTTCCTAAGCAATTTTTGTTTTCCAGAATCATCTTTCAAGAGGACTTTAGGCTAATTGCAGGTAATGAAAGTGCTAACTTATTTTAAACCTTTTATGTTTGAGTGGCATGTTACACATGAGACTATGCAGAAAGGTAGCCCAATATCTTAGCCATTTGCCACCATCATTTCATGGAAACGCTGTGATTTCCATACCACTACATCCAAGAGACATTTTTATTTATTTTACTTAACCTTTCGTTTTCATTCAGCAGCCCTGACCATGTCCACCTCCTTGACATGCTGCCTTCTTCCTTTGCCTCTTGTGGCCCACTGATTTTTTTCCTTCGCTGGTGGCTGCTGCTTGGTCTCCATTTTAGGCTGGTTCCCCTCTACTTGCCAGTTAAATTTGGAGTTCGTCAAGGCTTGGTCCTGTACTCTTTGCTCTGTTCTCTTTTTCTTTCCATTTGGGTAATCTAATCCACATGCTTGTCAACACTTAACTTGTCTTTCTGATTCTAGCCATTCCAGTGGGTGTCAAGTGGTATATCATTGTGCCTTTGTTTTCATTTCCGTTATGGCAATGATGTTGACATCTGTTCATGTGCTTATTAGCCATCTTTATATCTTCCTTGGAGACATGTCTATTCAAATCCTTTGCCCATATTTTAAATTGGGTTGTCTTTTTATTGTTGAGTTGTAGGAGTTCTTTATATATTCAGATACTAGACCCTTACCAGATATATGATTTGCCAGTATTTTCTTCCATTGTATAGGTTGTCTTTTCACTTTCTTGATGGTGTCCTTTGAACCATGTAATGTTTAATTTTGATGAAGTCTAAACTATTTTTTCTTTTGTTGCTTGTGCTTTTGGTGTCCTAAGAAACCAGTGCCTACTGTAATGTCATGAAGATTTACACCTATTTTTTTCCTAAGAATTTCATGTTTTTGGTTTTTCCTTTTGGTTTTTTGTTTTTTTTAGTTTGTTTTTTTTTTTTGTTTTGAACTGGGGTTCCGGTTTCTTTTTTTGCTTTTGGTTTTCCGTTTTTTCCGGGTGGTTTTTTTGAAAGGCTTTTTTTTTCCCCATTGAATTGTCTTGGCATGCTTGTTGAAAATCAGCTGACCAGGTAATATATTTTTTGATGTGCATTCTAGGTGATTTTTATGAAAGAATAACTCTGGGACGGTGATTATCAAACTTCAACGCATATCAAAATCACGTGTAGGGCTTGTTAAAGATTGCTGGGCTTTACTCAAAATATCTGATTCAGTACATCTGGAGTGGGGCCCAAGAATTTTCATTTCTAACAAGTTCCCTAGGATGTGACTAGTCTTGCTGGTGTGTGGAAACCACACTGTGAAAACCATTAATCTAGGACATTGGTTTGCAACTGTGGCTATACACATGAGAATTACTGCAAAATTTTTGACAAATGTTGATGCCCAGGCTCCACTCTGAGCGATTGATTCAGCTGGCCTAGGGCTCAGGTGTTGGCAATTTTCAAAAGCGCCTCAGGTTAATAGAATGGATGTTCAAGATTGAGAACCACTGCTGTGGGAGAAAAGTGGTTCTTTTTTGTTTCATTTTTTTGAGACAGGGTCTTGCTCTGTTGCTTGGGCTAGAGTGCAGTGGTGTCATCATAGTTCACTGCAACCTCAAACTCCTAAGCTCAAGCGATCTTCCCACCTCATCCTCCTGAGTAACGAGAACTACAGGCACACACCACCACGCCCAGCTAAGTTTTTAAATATTTTGTAGAGAGGGGGGCTTGCTATGTTGCCCAGGCTGGTCACAAACTCCTGGCCTCCCACCTCGGCCTCCCGAAGTGCTGGGATTACTGGCATGAGCCACTGCACCCAGCCAGAATAGTGGTCCTTAATCAGGGATGTTTAGTGGAATTACCTGAGCAGCTTCTAAGTTCACATGCCTCAGTTCTACCCTTGGAGATTCTAATTCAGAATGGAACCTGGGGATTTGATATTATAGAAGCTCCCCTAATAACTCACCTTTATAAGTAACCACTACTCTAGGATATTGCATCCTCTGATATCATTTTCAATGTTTCCTTTTTTTACTATTTTTATTCCCTTTATCAAACTTGATTTTCTCTACCTTTGAGAAAACATTTTATGTGATCCTTTTGCTCCATTTAACTATCTTGCTTTCCTTTTATTTTCAAACTTCCATTTTTATAACTTATTTAAATATTTCTGAAGGCTAAATAATTCCCTCTCCCAATGTGTTTGAAGTAAAAACTTTATTAATAATGGTGAGTGAGATTGTTTACGTGCTTATGATATGCAGCTAGGTTTAGGAACCTCTGCATTATATTTGTCTCCTTTGTCTCCCTAGAGTGAATTTCTAGAAATGGCATTGTTGGGTCAAAGGATATACATGTGTTAAAGTTTGGTATATATTGCCAGATTGCCCTCCAGAAAGGGCATACCAGTTTTACCATGCTTTCAGCTAACAGTAGGGTTTTTGTCAGTCTTTTATCAGTGAGGTAGTTGAAAAATAACTCATTTCAATGTTTGTTATTAGTGTGGTTGAGCATTCTTTCCTATTTTTATTGGCTGTTTGTATTTCTTAAGTGAATTGCCTGTTTTTCCTTTGCCCATTGTTTTCTGGGATGTGTTTACTTGTTTGTGTCATATTAGACTCTTGCATTGTTTGTGCTTTGCCAGTGAGGCAGGGCCGTAGTGGGAAGAGCATGGTATTGAGAAGAGGCCTAGCTTCTAATTCTATCTCTATCAGTGTACACATCCTTTTGCTTTTCTGGACTTCAGTTCTGTAAAATAAAGAGCTTAGCAACCTTCTCCACTTTCCTAACTTCTGTAATGATAGGGTATGTTTACTGCAGTGAACTCCTTTCATTCCTCTTCTTCCATTCCATTTCTCTTCAGTGGATCCATACATAGTTGTGTATGGGATGTAAAAATTGTGCAATTTAAAAAATTGGCTTTTAATGTCATTCAGTTATTCATAATTCTTCAGTAGTTCTTTAGTAACATTGATATTACCTAGTCTTAGCCTTTCTCACTTATTTGATAGAATAATAGTGATAGAAGAAATCCTAGGGGTTAGGCATTTACTTCAATTCTCCACCCAGTGTAAGAATTTCCTCCCATGTTATAGGAAGACTAATTAAATTCAACTTAAGCATTGTATTCATTCATATAGTGAGTAAATATTGTGTGTCTGCTATGTGCTAGGCATCGTCAGAGGTGTTGTAGCGACAGGACTGAAAAAGAGATGATTCTTTGTGCTTATGGAACTTACATTGTAATGAGAAAGACACATGCAGTAATATATATGGTGTCAGGTAAGTGCTATGAAGAAAAATGAAACATGCTTGGGCAAGGTGGTTATTTTAGATAGAGCGATTAGGAAAGTCCTCTCTGAGGAGGTGTTATTTGAGTGCGGAAGTGGACAGCAAGACATATTAATACAAATATCTGGAAGCTGATATTCTGGCAGAGGAATAGCAAGTGTGAAGTCCCCTGAGTCAGAAACTAATTTGGCCTCTTCAGAGTATCTATATCCGTATCTTATTAGACTGTGTAACCTACATTAAAAAATGTTTGTTTGTTTTTAGAGACAGGGTGTCACTTTGTCATCCAGACAGGAGTGTCATGGTGCAATCATAGCTCACTGTAGCCTCAAACTCCTGGCCTTAAGCAATCCTGCCTTAGCCTCCTGAGTAGCTGGGACTACAGGTGTGTGCCACCATGCCCAGCTACATTAAAAAATATTTATTGAGAACCTGCAATATGCTAGACATAGTTCTAGGCACCTGGGATAAAGCAGTAAACAAAGCACACACAAACCTTTACCCTCATGGGGTATATATTCTAGTAGAAAGAGATAAACAGTTAAAAAAAAACCCCCCAAACCAAAAAACCAAACAAATATGTAAGCAGGTGATAAAGTGCTGTAGGTAAAAAACAGGCAGGGAAGGGGAATAGGAAGTGTGTGGGGGAGTGAGGTGGGGGTTGCTCAGAAAGTCTTCCCTTGTGACATTTAAGCAAAGTCCTGAAGGGCTTGAGTGAATGAGTCATTCAGGTGTCTTGAATAAGGGCATTCCAGGCAAGAATAAGACTGTGAAAATGAGTGTGTACCCAGTGAGTACGAAATAACAAGGAAGCCTGTGTGGCTGAATGGGGAGAGTGGTAGGAAATGAGGTCATAGAGGTAACAGAATTGTTTATGTCTTTGCAGATCTTTGTAGCAATTTTGACTTTTTTATTGTTGTTGTTTTAAAGAGCTGGTGTCTCGCTC